TGCGTCGTTGAAAATGAGTAATATTAATCGCCTTATTGATTTAATTTTAAATTCTCCTAGAATAAAACTCAACCAGACAAAATCATATTAGATAATTGAGATACAAAAAAACCTATTGTAGACTTTGTGTGTGCACAAAAGCGGAAAAATAGTTTTCCAGATAATTACTTTAATATTTTGGTAGCAACTCAAACTCCACCTAAATTTGTTATCAATAAGAATGCCAAACAAAAGACAGAGTAGCTTGGATCCCTTTCAAAAACTGAAAAGGTAAGACTTAAAAGACTGTAATTTAGGTGTAGAGCTGCGTACGGATCTGTTTAAAATTGAGTAAACCGAGTGGCTTATCAAAAACGAAAATAGAACGATTCTTACAAACCAAGTCATTGTATACAAAGTTTGGTCCAGTAATCAGGCGTTTCCGAAGACTTCAAGCTGTTTTAAAATTTATTATTGAAACCTGGAGTATGGACTTGGCTTTTGTAAACAAGTTAGTTAGTCAAATCAATAGCGTCAAGTATTTATTACTTGCTGTAGATATTTTTACCAGATTTATTTGTCAGAGTTCAAACAATGAGCAAAAAGTATGCTAAGGACACATTACAAGCTTTCAAAATAAAGATTTCTCAAAAACACTCCTGAAAAACTTTGGGTTGATGAATGAACAGAATATGGGGGAAATTTTTAAAAGTTTTGCACGGAGAAAAACATAGAAATTTACTCAATAATGATTGAAACAAAATCAGTGTTTGCAGCGAAAGCAATTCAGTCTTTGAAACCTATAATATATCGTTACATTGAAGATCATGGTGGGAAAATTGTTCCCAAATTGCAACAGTTTGTTTCTACATTGAACTGTCGTGAAAATCGATCTATTGAAAAACCTCGGGGAGAAGTGAAAAATAAAGAATTTTTATAAGTTTTGTTTAAAAAAAAATTCATGAAATATACTAAGCCAATATTCAAAATTTGGGATAGAGAGAGAATTTCGAAAAAAAGATAACCCGCTCCGAAAAGGCTACAAGCCACAGTTTACAGATGAAAATTTTTAAACTCCGGTAAAATCTACAAAAAAAATCTCCTTCATACGTCATCAAAGATCTCAAAAAGAAAAAATTCTAGGGAAATTTTTTGAAAAAGAGCTGAGAAAATATTCAGACCAAAGGTAAATTTTTTAAATCAAATTTTTATGGATCAGTTGTCATGGATTCTTTCAGTATTTAGCAGGGTTCTATTGCTTCTTGTAAATGTTATACGAACAATAGTCTTAGCTCTCTTACAAATTTTCTACCGCAACAAATACATCTTAAAGGAGAATGAGAGGTTGCTATTTCAGAAACATCGTACCCTTCCTTGTACCAAAACCTTACTGAGGGAAAACTTACTTTCATAGATTGGCGAGAAAGTTCTCAGGAAAAAATAAAAATTCAACCGATGCATATTGACCCTGGATTGTATCCAAGTATTGTTGATATAGTTGTAGCCATGAATGACGAAGTTCCCAAACGTATAAGGGCACAAAAAATGATTATAACGGAATTTATGAATCAGTAGATGAGATAACACAAAAACTAGCCTTCTTTTACCTGAGGATCAATCAGCATTTTTAATTCAAAACGCTGATTTGAGTCACATTTTTGGTAATTTAGAACAACATCAGACTGTGGTTATAATGAAACGAAAAGGTACATATTATCTTAAGTATTCGTACACATAATGAGAATGCATTCCCTAAGGATTTATAGTGATATTACAAAAGATAATCTAGTAGGTGATATAAAAACTCCATTACTGCGTTGTATTCCTTTCATTTCCAAAGTAAAAATGGAGAGATAAAAGTTTATTGAGAAACTCTTTCCATAGCTTAAAAAAAGAACAAAGGGATACGACAAGCAAAAAATTTACTTTTGTGTCCGTAGAAATTACACGAGTTGTTCTTTTGCTTACGCAAAATTTCAGATAACCATTTTTGAACAATACTTCACATGAAATGATTGCTCAAAGTTTGCTCAAAAAATATATATTCCCAGCTGCAAAAAGAATCGGAGCAGATTTATTTGAAACTGCAGCTCAAGAGATTGGAGAAGTTGACATTGGAGTTGAAAAAATTCAAAACAATTGCAAAAGATGTTGGAACAAAAACAGTTCGAAAACAATTGGGAGGTGGAAAAAAACCAAACGTAGAACTGAAAGAACCCTTTCTCGAGAAAGTAGGTCGAAAAAAGTCGCTCTCGTAAAGACGTTTTTGACAAAATAAAATGAGTTTAAACGAAATTAGCCATCTTTGGTACGGGGCTTTTACAAATTCTTCTCTGGAGATTTTTGATAAAGTATCGGTTTCGGAAACAATTTTTTCTTCTTAAACGCAAGAAGTATTCCCCAGTACTTCTCTAGATGAAAGCAATATTGAGTTTGAATTTGATACAGATCGCAATCTCTACTTGGATATGCGCGATACCCATTTTAATTTGAAGCTTTAATTATCGAAGGGAAGGTTGGTTCATGCTTTCAAGAGAGAGAAAGCAGAACATAAAGAATCAGATAACGAACCAGAATTTACTTATTTTATGTAACTAATCTAGTACATTCTCTATTCTCCAATTAAGAAGTTTGTTTTTATTAATACATTGGTTTACAACGCCAATGGCTTATATCTTCTTAGAGCACAAATATGGAATGAATTCAACTCGTCGGCAGTGAGTAATACAGGAATACTTGCTTGCCATGGATATAGTTTTGAAGAATTTCCTGATACCTTTCATATGCATCCGTTCACTGATAGAGCAAATTCCTTAGGAACAGTGATAACTTTTTGACTCTATGGGAGGCTTGCCATTGATTTTCTTACTTGCGAAAAATTGTAACTACCGAAAACCGAAGTTTGAAAAAAATTTTACATGCTATCTGATAACCCAAATGTCCGTCTGATAATTGTTGGTTGTTCGCTGTTTAATAGAAAATTTTTAGTTGCTGAACCTAATCATCAATACTTGGAAGGGATCTGGAAAAGGAACCTGCTCAATACAATTACGTGGAAACTATAGCAAGAACCTTTATCATTCCATCTCGTCAAAACCAGTTTATTCAGGAAAATGTTTTCAATAATGCTCCAATCAGAAGAATAGCTGTTGCAATGAACGCATATTCAGCTGTCGCGGACTCCTTCCATGAAAACCCTTTCAACTATCGAAAATTTTATTTGAGAGAGCTTAGAATTATTCGGGATGGAAGAGCAAATGTGTCATTAGATACAACTTCTCCTTGTCGCCCCTATGTTACAACAATGAAAGCAAAGCATTTTAAGGAAGATTTTCAAAGTCACTATATTCTAGTTATTGACTTGACTTCACTTCAGGATGCAGCTGAACAGTTGCATTATCCAGGACTTAGTGGAAAAAGCTTGAGCAAGATATACTGGAAAAAGCTTCTCTTGGAGCAAGTCACGAAAGTGATGACCTTGTGAGAAACATTATCAAATATTCAAATAAAAAAATTCGAAGCAGCTGAGCAGTTGAACTATCCAGGACTTAGTGGAAAAAGCTTGAGCAATACTTAGTGGAAAAAGTTTCTCTTGGAGCAAGTCACGACAGTGATGGCCTTGGGAGAAAGATTATCAAGTATTCAAATAAAAAAATTCGAAGCAGTCCCTAAAAAAGTTTCATTTTTTGAAACCATCGAAAAAAAGTTTTTTTTTTCGATTTTTCAAGACAAAAATGTTTCTTAAAGACTAGAATTTATTGGCAAGTAAATTCAAACTAAATTTCAAAAAACTTCCGAAATTTACCTTCCTTTTTTGGATGTTTCAAGATAAAAATGTTTTTTCAAGATAAAAATGCTTTTTCAAGATAAAAATGTATTTGCAAGTAAAAATAAAAAACAAAATTTAAATATCCTGAAACCTAGCATCTGAAATTTACCATACCAAAGTTTTGTCAGAAAAGATAGCCCTTTCATATCTGAAAACGTAGAAGTTACCTAAGAAACGCATGTATCGGCAAATTCGAACACCAAAAAATTTGGGCGCCGAAACTTTTTTAAAACTTACCATCTCAAACCTCGTATCTTAATACATGGCAAAACCTATAACCTTTCTTAATACATTGGAAATCTATTCCCTATCTTAATTCATAGCCAGCGGTCCCAGAAATCTACTTCCTATCTTAAAACATGGAAGACATCCGGCACCCCCTCCCCCCACCTCTCCTCACTCTTCTACTATTAACGCAAATATGCTGAAAAATGAAAGTTTCTCCGACTATTTGCCAAGTACTTAATCCTAACTTTGCAGATGAACATTTCAAAATTAGATCTGGATAAATACTTCTTACAATTTGAAGCTCAATTCGAAATTTTCGTTTTCGTCTTACTGCAAGAATTCAAAAAATTGAATCGTTCCATGCTACAGCTTCAGTTGATGACTTGCTCAAAAAACTTTATTGAGCCTCAATTATATTTTAGATAATTACGCGCCGTTGAAAAAGCCAAAAAACAAAAAATTGATTGCCCCTGGTTGTCGACTCATTTAAAAAATTTATAAGCTAAGCAAAACAGATTTCATAAACTTGGTAAACAAACAATGAAAATTTTAGAGCAAAATCTCGCTTCGAAGCTGCAAGAAGTTAAGCTGAAATTGAAATTTAAAAATACAATAAAAAGTTTTGCTACCATTAATTCAGAGTTTTTTTGGTGTCTTCTGGAAAATTAAAAATGATTAAATCGTCTGAAGGACACTGAAAACATTTCTTGTAGTACAATAGCTTCAGAGAAAATAAGTAGCGGTAAGGTTGGTAGTGACAAATTAGTTAGTGGTAGCGACAAATTAAATTAGTCAGTTCAATGCCTGCTTTTTCTCCAATGGCAGCAACTTAACTACTCAAATTCCCAAGTCAGGATTTGATCAGTTTTATATTGATCCCCGCTTTGCATAAATTATTCTTCAGATAAAAATTCTATTTCATGCGTTATTCATCTGGTAGATACTAACTGGGAGTCACGTGATATATGTACAGATTTAAATAATAGGAGAGAAAATTTAATGGTCACGGAGCAGGGAAGATTTTATTAGTTTTAAGACATTTTCCAGTGAATGTTGAACAGAGGAAGAATCTGATCGACATCTTGAATAATCACCATTTTGGAGTAATTTTCTTTGCCATCTGGTTCAACCAAATGGGAGTCATGCTGCCGACAAATTTCTTTGCTGTTGTGTTTCATAACAGAACACTCATTGGCCTTAATTTGCTTTCCGCCTAGAATTCGTGCCATGATTAGTGTTCCTCGACCACCTGCATATGCAATGGAGACGTCTGGAAACTCTGAAAAATAGATTCCGTATCCATGTGCCGTTCGTTGTATCTTGTCCAACCTGAAGTTTTGTTTCATAATTGGCTCTGGGTCAGTCATCGGAGTTCCGTGAAACACTAAGATTTCTTTGGACATATTTTGACCTCTAACCTCAGCTAATTGAGCTTTCTTTGCATTATACTTTGTTTCTAGTTCTGGGTTGATATACATATCAACATAATCAATCGTTTTTTCGCGTTGATCTCTTCGAGCAAGTCGCAGAAAATGAGCTTCGGCAATTCTAAAGTACTTTTCACGGGAATCGTTCATATCAAATTCGCGACTGGCTTTCAATTCGATCTTTTGAAACTTTCCGGTTCGCCATTCTTCTCTCGTATCCGATGCCAACAATTTTACGTCTTGGTCAAGAGTGAAGCTAACATACCCTTTGATGGCAATGTAAAACGGGTTATATATGAAATATTCACAAATTCCATTGTTGCTTGGAATAAAAGCTGAGTCGAATTGACCTGCTCCCAGACCTTTGACGTCCAATGGGATGTTTTGTCCAGGTTTGTAAGCCCTACATTTTCCAATAAGCACGTCACAGATAAGCACAGTGAAAATGAATCCTTCGTTTTTTGAGTAAACTTCTTGACTCAACGTAGAAAACTCCACACGTCCAAGAGGTGTTTTTGAATATTTTCCCGTTTTCGTTTTATTGAACTTTGAATGAAACCCTGTGTTGACAAAGTTTTCAATCTCAGAAGGTTTTGCAGCAGTGAAAAAGCACATTGTCTGTCTATTTCGAGGATCAATGAGCTTGATTTGGTTTTCAACCAACCGTTTTTGGGCCATAGCATTATGAACTTTTACGACATTTTTAATTTTCACCAATAATCCTGGTTTTACTGTCAGGTATTTGATGGCTTGATCCTTCATGGTAAAATATTCTTCACTGGTTTCTGAGTTTTTTGGGTCAATCGAATATTTATACACTTTAGCCAGCCGTGCTGATTGCATACTGCTTGCGAATTTTTTGAGCTCATCTCGTTTTTGATTAATTTCCTGCTTTTGTCGCTCTTCTCTCAATTTCTGTTCTTGCCTCTCCTTTTCTCTTTTTTCCTCTTCGCACGGTTTGCACTTCACGTGTGCACAATCTTCGTGGCATTTCTGTGAACAAGTGTTTCCGCACTCGCTGTGTTTTTTCACACATGGTAACTGACAAAAGAATCTTTTGTCACTTTTCACGCACGGACCTGTACTGTGAGCCCCACATTTTTCACAATGTCGCTGCATTTTTCCATTGCATTTCACTTTATTTTGGTCTTCAAAACACTTTTTGTGCAAGTTTGCACCGCACTTGTTGCAGTCGAAAGTGACTTGATGTGCACACGGGTAATCATGTGAATGCTTAGGTCTGCATGTTTTCACACAATTGTGATCACATGGCATCTTTTCAGGACAGTTGTTGCGGCATGGTATATCTTCCTCAGCTTGGTTGCACTTGCGAGTAAGTTTGGACCCACATGTATGAACAAACTCAACTGTCGCTTGGCAATCAGAAGAATCGTGTTTATGAACAGAACCGCACTCTTTTTCACAAACGTGCTCACATTTTGTTTGGGAGCTTTTACATTCAGCCCGACACGAAAAACTTTCCTCTTTTTCGTGACATTTTCGCTGATAAGGGTGTCCGCATTTTGAGAAATTGAAGTCCAAAGTCGCACTGCATTTTATGTCACTCAATGCTTGGTGGCATTCTCTCATCAAAAGGTTGCTGCATTTGGGACAAGGCTCTTTTACTTTCTGTTTGCAAATAAGACTTGGGTCCGTTTTGTGTCTATGAGCCGGTTGGCATGTTTTGTAGCAGCTATGACCGCATTTCAGAAGCCTCTTACAAGGACCACTACACGTTATGTCGCTTTCCTCCTGACAGCATTTTCTCAGCAGCGCCTGTCCACAAGAATGTTTGAACTCAACGTTCTCTTTGCACTTCGAAGACTTTGCGTCATGTCCATGTGGCAGACTGCAAGGCTGCTTACACATGTGTCGGCAATCAACTAACGTGAGGTCACATGTTTCCGGACATATTTGATCTTCGGTTTTTTGGTAACACAGCTTTAAGCCCTTATGCCTTCCGCACTTTGGATAAATGAACTCGACTTGTTTTTCGCATTGGATCTCGTGTTCTTGTAGGTAGCACAATCTAGTCAAGGTGTTTCCACATTCAGGGCAAGAGAACTTAACTTCATGCTTACATTTGACGAGTCTGCAACCGTCCCGAATTGGCCTCTGATGAGCGAAAATACCATCGAGGAAAATATAGACATAGTTTTCTAATTTTCTTTTAAAAATTCTGATAACTTAGATTAAAATTTTTGTCAGTATATTTGTAGTTTTGTCAAATTGATTACTTGAACTCTGCTAATTTTTTGAGCTTCCCAGGACAATCTAAGAAAAACTGAAGGGTTGATTGGCACCTGGTATATTGGTGACCCTTTCCAAAATCAATAAATGTGGTAGTTATAAAATTTTCATGCAAAATTCTATGCGTGCGAAATCATTAATCCATGGCTTAGAAACTGTTTAATCTTAATAAATGTGGCCAACCCGCGATGATGATGGTGATCAGGTTCACATCTTTCGGGACAATTGTGTCCGCATGGTTCCATTTTCTTCAAGCATTTGTGTCTACATTCCTTGGCAGATGCTTTCTCAAAGCATAATTTTTTGTCTTTGTGCACATTGCAGAAACTGTACGTAAACTCGACAGATTTTTTGCATTTAATTTGCGATTCCTCCTGGAAACATTTTCGACTCAGTGGATGACCGTTATCTGGGCAGAGAAAATCGATTTGCTTCAGACAATAATTGTGGGAATGAACGGATCCGCAAATAGCCTCGCATAGGTGGGATCCTAAATTAGGATCTTTTTCATGATAGATATGCGTGCAGGGATTTGGACAGCGAAAGGATGTCTCATCTTCGTAGCACATCTTTACACCCATGTGCTTGCCACATTGGTGCATAAAATTAACTCTCTTCTTGCACGTCTCGTGAATTTGATCAGAATGATAAGGCTGACATTTCAGCTCACAGCGATGCTCTCCGCAAGGCATCAAAACGTCACAAATAGTTGAGCAGAAAGGTGCAGTTGGAAAACGGTCACCGACACTAAGCTCAATTTTAATGTTTTCATGGTTGCGACACTTAAGAGTTATTTTGTCGTCAACACATCCGTCATTTCTGAGTTGGTCCAAGAAAGGCTTCCACACTGCCGACGCCTCAGATTTTTCTCGTCCACATAATGTTTGCGCGTTTCCTAAGAAATACACCCCAGATTTGGATCTACTTTGGGCAACACAACGTCGGTTTAGAATTCCCAAAAATCCAGGATTTCTCTGGTTATTGTTCCGGACTAAGGATACTATTATTATTTCATTTTCGTCACCTTGGAACATGTCGATTGTTTGTATGTCGAGCCGATTTTCAGACTCGCGTGATGTGCAAATTTCTGGGTCATTTCTGGCCATTTTGCGCAGCTCAGCGGTTTGACCTTGATATCCAGACAACACTGTTATTGAGTTCAAAGGATACCCGTTGAATTTATGGAGAAACTTAACAAAATCAATCACTGCCTTCGCCTCTGTTTTGTTCGAATGACTTCTTCCGGAAGTTTCTGGCCAGTTATGGTTCCAAAAGAAGCAGTTAGTTTCCATACAGTTCACTGGTTTGATCGTAAGAACGCGCGGGTTATCCTGTAAGTCAGGGTAGATATCGCGAAGATACTTTGAAATGTCAGTTCTCATTCGGTTTTGAGCCGCCAGAGTCGCGAATGGTAAGTTGTTATTGATCAACCGTTCCATCATACTCACATCAAAATTGAACTTTTTCACTAATGTGAAGCACTCTATTTGAGTTCTGAGTTGTTTATGATCTCCGATCAAGATCAAATTTTGCACATGTTCGCCTAAAAGAGCAATCAATTGAGCCTCGTTTATTTCTGCTGCTTCTTCAACTATTATGACTGAGGGTTTAACAGCATTCAAAACATCGTTCCGAAAAGCGGCGCCAGTAATTGTCATCGCAATTACGCGTGCATTCTTAAGCGCTTCCGCTTCACGTGACTTTTCAAGCTTCCTAATTTGTTCACTTAAGTTTTCGTACTCGTTAAACAGACTTTTCAACTTCTCGGATGCTAGTTCGCTCTGTCTTAACAACATTGCTTGTAAGAAATGAAGTCTCTCAGTTTCACTTAAGTCCCAGGGATTTGAAATGTATCTCAAATTGCCCAGGTCTGTTTTCGCAGCAATTATCTTGGAAACAAGACCCAAGCTTTGCAAACATCTTGGGTACTTCCTTGTTTCGTAAGGACTGTCGGCGTTTTCGACGCTCCACGATATACGAGTTAGACGGATTTCTTTCCCTCGATCAACTGAAACCCCAGCGGCTTCGTACCGTTCCTCGATCAGTCTTTGAATCGCAACCGGGTCATCTTGCAGCTCCTCGTCATCGGCTTGATTTGTATGTGACTCATTGAGTCTTTCATACAACTTTGCTTTTTTGATAGCTTCGTACTTCTTTTGGCTTTCAAGGTCTTTGATTTGATTAGTGATATCGTCACAAGGAAGCCAAGCCTCGAACGCCAAATTGAACAGATTCTCTAGATTTTCAATTCCAGGTTGGTAAAATCTGTCCTCCGACAACAACGAAAACAGAATTGCTCCAATGTTTTCGAGCCCATTGTGTTGCTTTATCATTGCCTCCAGCTCTTTCCTAAACCCAGCATCTATGTCCGAAAACTTTTTCAATAGATTTTCGATTTGAACATTGTCGAAGTGTTTGAGAGCAACTTGGTGATCTAACTGCATGCATTTACCACAAAACTGTTGAATAGCTTCTTGTAACTCATGGGTAAGTTCATCACGTTTTTTTCTCAAGCCGTGTTCAATGTTTCCGCTTCGGTTGATAAATTTATTGATTGAGTAGTTCTGCATTTCTGCGTCTTTGGATCGACCCCCCACTCTGATAAAGGATCCATGCTCACGAAAAACGCTCCAGTTTTCCAAAATATGCTTGGAAAACTCATCTAAGGCATGATTTTTATATGTCAAGATCAGAATTGGACCCTGAATTGCTGGTTCGTCTCTGAAATTTTTGAGATTTAGGAGAACATTGGTCAACTGGACGCCCAGGTACGTCTTTCCTGTTCCTGGGGGTCCCTGGACAATTCCAATTCTGTTGCTCAGAAGACTTTTTATCGCTATCGTTTGGCTTGGGTCTAGAACACTCTTTTCGTCGTCATCTTCTGTATCAAAGTCCACATACTCATCAACCTTTATTGGTCTGTTATGTTTGCAATCAAGTGCCACAGATCTGTACGAGGGAACAATTTTTTTATCGCATTCGCATTTGAACAGCAATCCTCGAGTGAACTTCATGTCCAAATGTGGCGCTTCGGATATGGGTTTCACTCCATTCACCAATTCTTCTGTGAATGGCAAGTTGCTCGCATTTAGACTCTGAATCGATTTCAGAACTGGTTTGTACGAGTGATAGTAAGTGGGCGACTCTGCAATGACACATGATCCAGAACTGCGGATTAGGAGTTCCAGGGCGTCAATGAAGGACTTTTCATTGACTTCACTCGCGTATTCAAGGAAAACAGTGACATAGCCATTATTCAGAGTGTCATTTCGATGGTACACTGTCGCCCAAATGATGTCATTGAAGAGACCCGTACTTGATATTGCTACAAGGTTGCCAAACATGAAGGCTCTGTGAAATACAAATCATTCCTGTCAACTTTTTGCTTCACTATGTTAGAGACTAGTTTCGCAGAATAAGTCAAACCTTCCTTTTCACATTCTTTCAAAGAATCAATTTTAAAACGTTACCAGTGGTTTTAACAAGTTTTTACTTGCTGAAAAATTTTTATTAAAAAATTTAGATAGTTTTTCCATGAGCCAAATTGCATTATACTTGGTTGCAAATGCCCATAACTTTACAAAAACTAATTAAAAGTGCTATTTTTTAGGAGTTGACGCTCTTTTTATCGAGTACTTAAATATGATTTTCAGAAGCCGTCAAAAACATAATTTTGGCGGACTAATACGGCGTACAGAAAAAATCACCACGAGCATTAGCAATGAGCACAACGAAAGAAACAAGTAGCAATCTGATCTAGAAGATTTCATTTTCATCTAAGAATATGTTCAGGTCTTACTCTTGTGTGTCATTTTGGACAAATATCTTGACTTTCAGCTTTGAACGTATGATGAGGGCGTATAGCTTTCAAGAATTTAATCATTTATTACACTTATAATAATTTGATCTAGTTGTTCGCTGATGTTTCAGATATAATTGACAGAAAATCATATCACCAACAGCAAGACTAGTTGGTTGGTGTAGGATCGGTGATCCTAACACTTTTCGACAAACTCATATTTCGTCTGGGAGTTTACCTTGAGAAATGCATGCAGTGTAGTGAAGGTTAATGAATACTACGTAACTCGGTATTGATAAATCAATTCGATAAGTAGAAAAGTAAACAAATAGTCATACCCAAAATAAGTTTGAATCTTCAAAGATATAGTCCCTCTTATGGCAGAAAACTCAGGTGAAGTAAAATCGGCGGACCCCCCCCCCCAAATGGGAACTACAGTGGCTAGGTTTATGAAACTCATAGGACGAATACTAGAGATGATTTGACCCGGGCATGCAAAAATCCATAACCCTCGGACCCCCGGGCCCAAGTGATAACGGTTCCCGGAAGTGCAAATGGCCCTACCAGAACTCGGTAACTAGCGGTTGGAATGGAACCAAAAGTATGTAAACATATAGTATGTTATAGACCTAGTTGAGGGAAGCTTAAGTTTAGAAACTCAGACCCCCTGGACCCCTACTTCCGGTGCTGTGCCCTATGCAAATAGACCTCACCCCGACTTCCGGGAGTCGGTTCTCGGACCCCACTGAACGCAAGAAGCTAAAACTTTGGGATAGCATAGGTAGCCACGAAGTACATCTTGTGTTATAGTTTGAACCAAATCCAGCTGCTGAACCGGAAGTTATTAGCACTTTGGGAAACCACCCCTTAAACCGGAAGTAGGCAGTTTACGCAAAATAATGAGCGAGGGCATATCTATTTTATCGCGGCATCAGATACTACTTTTCATCCCCGAAAAAAGACCCCTTATAAGTAAAACCCCTCCGGCGACTCCTTCCGGTGCTAATAGCCTTTCCCCGGGAAAAGTGATAATGGACCTTAGAAATGGGATAACTTGGGAAGTATTAACGGGGATATGGATGAAACTTGGTAGGTAGGACCCCTATTGGATTCTATACCTGAATGTGGAAGATTGACCCCGGGGTGACCTCAAATGGACCTTTAGGCGTTTAGGACCAAATTTGTATGGAAAACCTCGGGATTAACACCGGAAAGAGGCGTATTCATTCGACCCCAACCCTTGGGAATGAGAATCGGTCACCTTACTAATATTTGGGAGGGAACTTACCTATTGGGGAATAATTGAGAAGCCGAAAAAGATATACTTTTACATTGTATGATTGAATTAGTGGAATCAATTGAAGTGAACTTGGCAAACATCGGGTTCAATCTAGCTTGGCGAATGCGCTATTAATAGAGTAGCAATAAGGGTAAAAGAAAAGTAGTCCCAGAGGGAATTGACAGTAACGGAGGTATAGCATGGGAAGTAGGACTCCTTAATAACATGAATGAACGGGATATTTACTTAGCTCCCCGGAGGTTGCTTTTTGGCACAATTCGACCCCTAATAAGCGAATTACGTTCCCCTGATAGCTAGAGGTCGGGATTAGAATATAGTATAGATCGGAATTTTAGATAATTAGGATGAATTAGCGACCCATAAAAAGGGTCTTCCCTTACCCCTGGGAGGTTGGAACGTTAATGGGATAATTAAATAAAAACCTTGGGAAGATTGGTTAAATAAACATAATTCGGTTTGGAGGTGAAATTGGACTTGATATTTGCACAAATTAGTTAGAGACGCCTTTAATGAACTTGGAATTTAAGACTAGTGACGTCAGGGGAAGAATTCAGCCAAGACCTTGCGAAATGGGTACCAAAGTAAATGTCAGGACTTGTAGGAACGACATAACTGTAACTATAACTAAAACTCAGATAGACAAATATTATAGAGAATAACAAGCAGCCTACCCTTAGGCAGAACACTGTGAATTACTAGAAAGAGTAGTCGGTTCTCGTTAGCTAGAGAAGAACAATTGTGCTGTGAGAGCGAACAGTTGGTTCCCAGTTAGTTAGAGAATCAGGAATTGTGAGGTCGGACTGAGTGATTAAGTAGAATTACTCTGGGTAATTCAATAATTAGGATTGTCTAGAAAAGAGAGAAGTGTTGGCTAAGTTATTTGGAACTCGAATTGCAATAAGGCAATTGTATCGATTGATCGCGGACCCTTTGATTAGATTACTAGATTATACTTTGGCCGCCTAGACCCTTCTGTATTTGGAGCAATATTTATCTGAATTTAATTATTACTGAAAATTCGTGTGATCGGCGAGAGTGAACGAGACAGCCGCAAGAGAAGCATAGAAAGGGGCAAGTAACAGAAGACAGTACGGAGTAGTTGCCACCAACTTAACCCTTTCGGGATTGTGGATAGTAGTGAATCTCGGCCGCCCCGCTGAATTCACTACCAAAGGGACCACTTTGCGGTGCCGTTAAGCTAAAGAGTGAGAACGGACCTAGAGAAGCAATCCCTGAAATCTGCAGTTGGGTTAGAAAATAAAAATAAAGTGCTGATTGGTAGGAATCCTTCACGAGTCTAACATGCATCTGAAGACAGTATAGTGTCATTTGAAGTGAGAATTTTTTCAGACTATCCCAATTTAAAACAAGTAAATAGTCATTGCACCGGCTAGTACTATAATGTAACAGTTTTGCATTTAAGTGCATATCTAATTAAAAGTTCTAAATGATGTAATTTCGCTCGCATCAGGGAAGAAGCCCATTTTTTCAAAGCGCTGAACGTCTATGAATTAATTTTGTTGGTTTTAAACGAAAAACAGGAAAAAAACTTACATTATTAACATTATCAAAAAAGACTGCTATTAAACAAGACTGATTATAAACAAGACTGCTCGTATATCAGGGCAAAGCCCGGAATGTTCCGCCTGCCTTTTACTTGGTCTCGAAAAGTTTTTGATAAAAGAAAACATTGGAAAACTATAAATTTGATTCAGGGAGTCGATATCTTCAATGGAGTATAATTTTTTTGTTATAAACTAATATTTCGATTGCTGAAAATTGACTGAATGAAAAAACCACACTGAGCATAAATATTCCGCTTTCTTCGAAAGTCGGAACAAAAATAAAACTCAATTCTATTTTGAATGATTTCTGAGCCGAAAGAATTAGCCGCTCAAGCATTATTATAACGAATTATGTTAAGAGTTACTTATCCCGACTCGACCAAATTTCAATTTGCAAGTTAATTTTTCAAACTATCGCACTTTTTTTAAATTTAGAGCTCAAGGCACTAATATCTATCAGCTGACATTCAAAACTCTGCACTTTCTCAAGCTAGTTAAATAGTCGAAATTGATTTGAAGAGCACAACTATTCTGAAATCAGATCAATGAGATTGCTCATAGCTAGTCCGGGAGATAATGAACTAAATGATTTTTTTTGGTTAAAAATTATTCACTCTCAAGTTCAATGGGGTATAAAATAATTAATTCAAAAAAATTTATCACCAGCAACTGTTTTTGGTAAAATTTTTGGGGTTTGAAAATTGCTATTTTGGTCAAGTTCTTGAAAAAGTTTATGCGGACATTTAAGGAGATGGCTACACAGTAATGATGATCCGTTGAACGATCCATTATTTTTTTAAAAATAAAACGCTGGATCTTTTGTAAAGTATATAAGTTTAAAGTAAAATTTATGCCTAGAAACAAAAATCCTGACTAAGCATCAAAACTCGATTACAGCTATTGAGATCTGGTTTTTTGAAACATTCACAGCGCCCTCAAAAACATTTTCCTTAAAATGAGTTTGAATGTTGGAAAAATCAGTTACATGCATGGTCATATCACTACTGGACAGTAAGATAGGAGCTTCGTTCTTTCGGTTAGAGAAAAGATTGAACATCTCAAAAACGTACCTGCTGTCAAGTAGATTGTTCGAAAACATTTGGCGCCTTAGTAGCTTTGCAGTCACCACAAACACGTTTGTCATCGAGTTTTGTATGAAACTGAGCGCGAAGAAAACTCCTTCTGTGGCTACATTCATGTCCCTGAGATCTAAATCACCCTTGAGGTAATTCTTGATTCCCACAAGTAAATTGAAGAAGCAGTCATATCGCAACAAGTTAAAGTATGTCTCCACATAAGACTCGACTGAATCATAGGCACCCTTGACGACCACAGGGGTAATGTTGAGAAACGATCGCTCATCCACCATAATCTGGTTCAACTCTTCTGTCGAAGGGACTAATTTCACCTCTTTGTAAGTCATGTCTTCAACTCGAACAGCGAACGGTTTGGTAATGACCTCAATGAAATCGAGGTAGAACTGAGTCGTAAATGCTTCAGGGTTGGCAGCTAGAAGCTTATGTATCTTCCTGCCACAATTGGGGAAAATCAGGACAATTTCGATCAGAAATTGCGATATGTTGGCCAGGTCTAAAACTTCGATATAACCATGCTCGTCGCTCGAAGAAGAACACCCTAATTTCTGATTAGGTGATTGATTTTCTGTCTTTGCAGACATTAGGAAATTATGAAACGGCTTGTTCTTGTCGAAGAAGCCTTCATTCATTAGAACTTCGATAAGCTCTTTATTGTAGTTGCTTCCAAAATTTTTCAGACAAAACTCCATTAGGCCCAACGAAGCTTCGAGAACAGTTTGCTTTGCTTTCTGATTCAACTTTGCCGATTTAGCTGAAAACAACTTCAGTGCTGCCTTTACAGGCAAATTGCTCGCAAACTGTTCGATCAGAGTTTTTTCATTTTCATCCGACTGTTTCAAAAATTCAGTGATGCTTTTTGCCAGACGAAAGACGCTATCAGAATTTCGATGTCTTTCAAAGACTAATTCGAGCAGTGAAGCATGTTCAATTTGCATTTTAACAGCTTTAGCTGGGTCAATTGATACTTGAAGCGTATCTCCTGGAATTAAGTCTAGATTCAAATGCAGTAATTTTGAGAAATGGAGAAAAAAATTTTCGGGTCGGAAAACTGAGGGCATCTGAATTTTAGGTTTAACAAAGCAAATTTCTTTTGACGAGATCCAAGATACAATAGTTGCTTCGCAAATAATATGAGAAACTTTTGCATTTTGACTCCCATCTTTTAGATTCGAGCTTTCTGACAAACTTGCATCCCTTGTAAAACAACCGCTGATGTTGAAAATTTCATCTTCAGTTCTGAAATGTTTCAAGTTCACGTTTTGAACTTCATACCGTTGATTGTCATGGCTGTGTTCGGGTGAAAAAATTTTGACCGCAAAGACTACGTGTGCTTTTTCATTCAATAGCAATGAGCTGGTCGAGCTTCGAAACGCATTCAGCTTGAAATATAATTTTCCTTCTGTGCTCAGAGATTTAACTTCGCTCGGCGCGTTTTGGTCAATGAGTATGAATCCATACGTTTCGTAGAGCTTAAAAACTACGCCGTTTAGTCCTGGAAAGTACGTTTGAGGTGGTTTGGGGGTGTTTTCTGTATTATGATCACGCGAGGTGGATCCGGCTACATTCTGGTTACCATTAGTTTCACGACTGGACGATCCCATTTCCCCATGATTCCCTTGGTTATTTGGTTTGCCTCGATTGCTGGCATTTAGTTGCTGGTAGGAGCTTCCTTGTGGCTGTGCTAAAGGATTCCCGCAATTATTGGCTGCTCTAGACTTTTTCTTTGACTTGCCTCTTCCAGAGTTTGGTTGAAGAACATCAAACCTCCCGCCACGTTGATTTTGATTAATGGAGTTAAAAGGCTGTGGAATAAAACCTCGACGATTAACATTTGACCTGCTTTGTGATCTTGTATAGCCACCGTAGTTGGTGCTATTTCTTTGTGGATTTCTTCTACCTCTCGCGATATGCCGTGATTGACCAAAGTCATCGAAAAAATCACCTCCTACTGCACCAGTAGAGCTCTGAGCTTGGGATGGGGGTCGATAGGGGACATCATCTGCCGCACTGACTGCAGACCGGGCGCTACTATTGTCCCGTCCGCGATACGGCATCAGTTGGAACTATTTTCACCCTAAATGTTGCCAAAGTTAAACTCTAATTTGATGACAGTTGTTGCTCACGGAAAAACTGAAACACGTGAAGTTGGTGTTAGTGGCTAAAATGCGCCGAAAATCTAATTTCTGAAGAACTATTGGAAAAATGTTCCTAGCAGAGACATCGAGTTAGAAAAACTAGAAGTCCGTTTTTGAAATTTACCCAGAGTTAATTAGAAACTCGATTAGCTTAATTTGGGTTAACATTTTTGAGGAAAATTTGAAAAACTACAAATTTTTGTGGTAATCTTCTTGTTACTATTATTTTTGTTCATCAAAAAAGCGAAGCTCAGTTGGTATTTCACAGCCTTTTTCCGGGATTTTAAAGGTCTTATTGTTTCATCGAATGCTTAATACACGCGCACACGTGCCTGTATCATATATTTTACCTTACTGTAATAAGTAGTTAAATTGTTGAATATAATTTGATTGCTCGCGTCGAATGGTTAAGCATATATCGAAGCATACAAGGTCGAGGGCTCGAACACCGCTGTTTGCTAATGAATATATATTTATAAACGATACAATTAATTTCTAAGATAGGGGAGATTTTTGTGGTATGGTCAACCCGTGTTCAAACGTTCAAACGGTTTTTTAAGATAACTTCTCTTCTGTGTTCTTATTAATTATTTTTTACTTAATATATGTTAATTTCATATATATTTTATTTTATAGATTATTGCGTACTACTTAGTTTTTTTGTCCAAAATTTCTGTCAGCAAGAAAGGAAAGGTTGAAATAGCGCAGATAGCGCAATTCATTTTAAGCCAAACTGCAGATTTTTAGTTAAATTCATAAATTACTTGGTGGCAATTGCAAATAGAGACCATTTCAGATTACATGGGGACTATAAGTTGAAAAAACTAGAATATGGTGACAGTTAAAAATATTACATGGGGAATATTATGTTAGATAATACATTGTGACAATTACGATCCATACCTGATGGTCATCCATGGATGACAACACCCCCATCACAGTGTACTATGTGCATACTACTGACCAATTTACAAGTTTGATGTTTAAGTCCAAACTTAAAGAGCATATTGGTCAGAGAAAAAGGTTTGTCAGCATAAACGGAAGTTTCGCATTTAGATGTAACTTTGTTGAATTAAGTTTTTGATGGTGTTGTTTTGCAAGTAGTGAGCCGATCTGGTATCAACTAATTTACAAACATCTCATTTGTTTGTGTTCAACAGTTGACTGCTTACCAAAATACTTAGACCAAAAAAAGAATCACTGATCAGGATGCCTTTATGTTTCTATAAAAAGGGTTCGAAATTCTCTTCTTAAAAAAGTCGTAATTTTTTTTCATTTAGGAGTGAGTATGGATGCCAGTAACTTCGAAGTCGACTATCCCGATAACCTTTTAAGTAATAATTCAAGGCTGATTCAACATAAATTTCAATATTACCGCTTTTTATTTACCTTTTGTAATAGTGGTGCTCTACATTTCTCTCAGTTTAAATGACCACGATTATCGTTAAAGCAAAGTCATGTTTTGATAACATTGCTTTCATTGAGATAAAATTATGATGTTTAAGTCAGACTGTAGTTCATGCTGGTGACATTTCAAGGATCCTATGTTAAAAAAACAGTAAAGCGTCGCTTTTACTCATTTTCGGCAATACGCTCATCATATACAAAATTAGCAATAACAACAGGTAACAAATTCATATCTATTTTTTTCGACCTTTCATTCAGACCACACAATTTTTTGTAGATCAGTTTCAATCTATCGTTTTCTGAATTGCTTTTACTGCTATTTTTGATAGCTCTTTTGTTTGATCGATTAGGCTTTTTGTTATATTCAGTAATTGCTGATCTGTATCAATTTTACGCACGAAAAATTGAGAAACCTTTGATTTTGATCAAATAATAACCTTTCTTTTTGAAATCAAATTATAATAAATTATAATACATTTTAATCTATTATAATCGATTACTTATCCGTATATTTTTCGATACAATTGTAACCAATTATAGTCGATTAAAATCTCTCTTTTTGAAATCAGAATACAATCAATTATGATACACTTTAATCGATTATTTATCCGCCTATTTTTCGATACAATCATGATCAATTTTAATGGATTATAATCCATTATTTTCATTCCAATTTCTAATTCATGAGTTTTGCACAAAAACCATTATAATCGATTATGATTGATTATAATCCCTTTTGTTTGCCCAATTTGTCTTCGAAGTTGTATCTAAATTGCTTATATTTTATGCTTTTTGTATACTGTAGAATTGGTGATTCTACTGTCTTACATGCTATAGTAACCTGAGCTTAAGATTGATTCGTCATTAAGTTAAGTAGTACAGCAAACAAAGGGTAAAGTTCGAAATAGTTCAATCTTCGAAGATATCGTCCCTCCTATTCCAGAAAACAAAATTTGACAAAATTGGCGAACCCCCCCCCCCAAAATCGGAACTAAGGAAGCTAATGTTATGAAATTCAGAGGAGGGACCCGGGCATAAAAAATTGGGACCCCTCAGACCCTTGGGGGGCAAGTGATAACGGTCCCCGGAAGTGTAAATGGCCCTATCAGAACTCGGTAACTAGCGGTTGGAATAGACTCAAATTCTAGTATATTGTAGGCCTAAATGAGATAAGTTTAAGTTTGGAACCCCAGACCCCGTAAGTAAAAAAACCCACCCCTAACTTCCGGAAGTCGTTTCTCGGCCTCCAATGAATGCAGGGAGCTGAAACTTGGAAGGATGATAGGTAGTGGCAAGATACATCTTGTATTATAAGTTGAACCAAATTCGGCGGTTGGGCCGAAGCTATTAGCACTTGGAAAAACAACCCCTTAGAACGGAAAAAGGCAATTTACACGAAATAATGAGCGAGGGCATAACAATTTTATGGCGGCATCAGATACAACAATTCATCCCCGAAAAAGACCCCTAGTGATTAAAACCCCTCCGGCCACTCCTTCCGGTGTTAATAGCCTTTTCCCGGAAAAAGTGATAATGGACCTTAGAAATGGGATAACTTGTGAAGTATCAATGGGATATAAATGAAACTTGGTAGTTAGGACCCCCATGGTATTCTGAACCCAATTATGGAATTTTGACCCCGGTTGACCCCTGGGTGACCTGAAGTTGACCTTTGGGCGTTTTGACCCCAAAATTGCATGGAAAACCCCAAGATTAACACCGGAAAGTGGCGTATTCCCCAGCCTAACCCCTGAAAATGAGAATGGGTCACCTTGCTAAAAGTTGGGAGGAAAACTTATATATTGGGAACAAGAGCAGAAGCTGATAGAGATTTAGTTTTATATTGCAACATTGGGTTAGTACAGTTAATTCAAAGTGGACTTGGTAAATAATGGGTTCAATTTAGCTTGGCGAATGATCTATTAGTAGCAATTCAACTAAACTAAAGAAAAGTAGTCCCAGAAGATATTGATAGTAATAGAACCGTAGCATGAAAATTAAGTCTCCTAAATTGTATGAACGGACGGGGAATTTACTTGCCTTCTCGGAGGTGACTTTCTGGTTTGATTTGACCCCTATTAGACGAACTACGTTCCTTTGATAGCTAGAAAGTCGGGATTGGAATAGAGTACAGATAGAAATTTTAGATGCTTGGAATGAATAAGCTACCCATGAAAAGGGTCTCCCCCTGCCCTTAGGAGATCGGAACGTTAACGTGATATTTAAAATAAAGACCTTGGGATTAAGACTGGGTAAACATAGCATGGTTTAGAGGTTGAGTTGAACTCGAGAGCTGAAGTTCACATAGTTCAGGAATTGATTGATTAGAATCGTATGACATTTGTTTGCTTGGTCAAATTGTCACAGCTACCGCATACCGGGTATCTAATAAGCGTGAAAAGATTGATAAAAGAAACAGAAGTTGGCACGTGGCAGAGTTGACAGTGGGAGGGATATAGTCTTAAACATGCGCCGACGGATGATTTAAGCGGATGTCAGTACTGGTAGCGAATGGCGTGACTTCACTAAAACTAAGTGTAAAGAAAGATAAGGAATTGGAGGGCACCGGAGAGCTTTTAAGAAACAGAACAGTTGTTAGCTACTATTAAGAGTAGTTCGTTCTCGTCAGAGAAGAGAACAGTTGTTAGCAACTATTAAGAGTAGTGGGTTCTCAGTCAGAGAAGAGAACAGTTGTTAGCTACTATCAAGAGTAGTTGGTTCTGAGTCAGAGAAGAGAGCAATTGATACTGAGAGAGAGTACAGTTGGTTCTCCGTTAGTTAGAGAGAACAATTATTGCTAGTTAGTCACGTGATTGGTTCTCGGAGTAAGAGACCAGTAGATAATTAGTTATCATCAGAGAATCTCAAGAGAGAGAGAATAGTTAGTGTTAGTGGAGTTAGTTGGAAGTTACTTGCAATTAGGCAATTTGGCCGATAAATCGCGGACCCTTTCCTTTTGACTTGATTGTTAGATTCTATCCTGGCCACTCAGAGCCTTCTGTAATTGGACATATAACCATTTAAATTAATTTATCATTGGAAATTCTTGCGATTGTATCGAGTAGACGAGACAAGACAGCCGAAAAGCAATACACAGAGGGGCAAGCAACATAATACAATACAGAATAGTTGCCACCAAAATAACCCTTTCGGGATTGTAGATAGTAGTGAATCTCGGTCACCCCACTGAATTCACTGCCCAAGGGACGACTTTGGGGTGTCGTTAGGAAAGAGAGAACGAACCTAGAGAAGAATTCCCCGAAATCTACATATACGTTGGTTTCTGTGATAAATAGGAAAACTTTCTTAAAAAAATTTTCAAATCAATTCGGTTTATAAGTTTTGTTTTCATCTGTTCCCCATAAGAGTTGTTCATTGATGCACATTTTAAGTATTTTAAAGCACCAAAACAGCAATTTGATTTGTCTATATGATTGATTGGTAAGGTTTGTTTTCACCTACCTCGGAAACTTTCAAATAATATGAAAGGAACTTTATGAAACTTTTGTTTCGTGATAAAATTTTTTGTTCAGATGAATCAAAGTGTGGCAAGAGATCTCTTTTAGAGATTTTGTTATTGACACAAAACTAATAACACATAAGACATAATTCGAATATTGTTTTAGTTCGACAAAATTTTGGCAAAATAGGAGACTATAATCGATTATAATTGATTTTAAGGCTTTTTTGTATGAACTGCAATCAATTACAATCGATTTTAATCTCTTGGAAAATATCAATTATAAATCCTTTGGTGGCGTGTCACGGAGCCGAATACCCGGATAGCCGAAAAATTTTGAGGTACCCCCTATCTCTACCCCCCAACCATACACTTAGTCCCATCTTTCTTCCTTTCCACTCCCTTCCCCTCCTCCCAATTACCCCCTCCCCTTACCCACGTTTACCCCACTCCCCCCGGCAAAAAAATAATAAACGCGTTAAAAAACTGGAAAAATGTTTTAAAAAAAACAGGCCAAAACGCCGTTTTTGGGTTTTTTTTTGGAAAAATTTTGTCCAAAAAATTGCGTTTTTCAGCGCGCGCTCCCCTTAGCATATACTAAAAAATTTTAGGGTTTGTCGGCCGAAAATGGATAAAACATACCAAAGAGGGACCCTTTGGTTTGTGAGGGGGGTCGAATCCCTGTTGTAGTCAGACTTTTGTTGTTAATTAATTCAATGTGAGTAAAAAATTTAGCCAATCCAATCTCAAGGCTGCAAAATTTTGAGGCATTTTCTGTCAAATCAAAATGCGTCTCAAGAGTTTTTTGGTTTAATTTAATTAAAATGGGAGGTATTTAGTTTTTTCGGCTATCCGGGAATGCGGCTCCGTGGGAACGCACCAATCCTTTAAACACCTAATTTTGGTAATTATAATCAATTATAATTGTCAAAACAATCATCATAATAATCCGTTATAATCGATTACTTACGCCTAAAATTGAATGCGGGTTTCTTTTCCTGCATATATTTCATGCTTGTCCTCGTTATAAAAAAAATGTTGTTAGCGCGTTTGGCGGTTAACTTTTTCCTCTGTTTCCTGATGGATGACAAACATAAAATCGTCTGGGTTAGGGCTGAGTGCGTAATACATATTAGTGCGGAAGTTGTTTTTGCCTACCGATGAGCCCAGCTGAGATAGTTTGCACGTAGTATACTACGCCAACTATCTCAGTTTGGCTCATCGGTAAGCAAAAATAATTTAAGTCTTGTGTCGATTTCTACAGTTAAGCTAATTTAAAACCTACGTTTATGTGAAGCAGGTTCTGCAGGCCAGACAAAGTAAATTTAATCATAAAAGCCAACAAACTGTTTTGTGGAACTAACAACTGAAACCAAAACTAATCAAACAGCGAAATGGTATTCAATTGTCTTGTCTCGTAACAAGAAAATTAACTTGGAGTTAAATTGGAGTTGAATAAGAAAATCTGGTAATATGAAAATTAAATTGAAATTGCAACTATAAATGCAACTCAAACTAAAACTGCGACAGGAAACCGCTTATTTAATATTTAGTTGGATTTGCAATATTTGAATATTTGTGCGCTATAGTTAGTCAGGCAACAAAGGATGCAGCTTTTTGACCCTTCGGTTTGCCGAACAAACTTTTCACCAGAAAGTTTTGTTTCAACTATGCAGTTCCAACGTTTCCTTAAATACAAACACACTTTGTTGCAAAAACATTCAGCTCCGGAGCTGGAGGAAAATGTATCAAAACAAATTTTCAGTTAATGTAATCTTTACGCACTTTTTGGAAGCTTTTTTAGTGTTTTTTTTTTAAGTTTAGTATGTATAATAGCATCAAAAAAGTGTGCTTTGCTTGAGAGTTTAGTTAGAAAGAACGAACAAGCTGTAGAATAATGTGCAGCTAGCTCAACGTTTGACGCTTTTCTTATTTCTGAGAAATGGTCTGACGAAAAATAACACCAACCAAACTGCAGCAGTACACAAATTATATTCAACACCAGTATTCACAACGCGCTCTTTGCAGCAAATGGTAATAAAATGGTTATCAATAGATAACAAATGAGCAGACAGCTTGGAAAGCCGAATTTTTGGTTTCAGATTGTCCTCTTCAACTTTTGCCATGAACATTATTTAAATTCGGAAAAACTAACTCGAAAAAACAACTTGTTTGAAATAGTATATAATAGTCTAATAAGTCTATGCAGTCATCTCATTAGCCACCCGAATTTGTTTTTTATAGGTTATCTTACACTAAATCAATATTTTTTCTGCTCTTAAGCCGGTCTGCACTTCGAGTATTCTCCACTCAGACTGCCGTAAAATCAAATTACACAGCGATAGCAGTTGCAAATGAACAAACGTTTTTTCAGCAAATGTTTGAACTCAACACAAAAAAGTGCAACTAATACAATGTCCCATTTTGTTTCATAGACAACATATTGAGAAAAAACTGTCAACTGAAATTTCCAAAAACTGAAACCAAGAAGAAACGGCTGCTATAAACTCAATAACGAACTGTGGGCAGCCGAATATTCTTGAGCGCTTTTTCATATCCGTAATTTCATTTGCGATTGCGAAGGATAGACGATTCGTGAAATTGTATTTTCCTGCATTCATCAAAATATTAAAAAAGTTTCTCAGTTTGGTACAAATAACGTGTACGGCAATAATCCTTGATTTGGGGAAAAATTACAGCTAAAATCAGTCAATAAATTTTCGAGGGACCTAAAAATTTGATTTCGAACTATTTTCGTCATGACTTGAAAGCACCTCAAAACACATAGTCTTTTCTTGAAACGGAAATTTTGGTGAAATATTTTGTTGATTTTAAATAAAATGTTTCCTTCAGGGGCGGATTTAGGGGGGGGGGGGGGGGCGGACGCCCTTTCCCCTCAGGGATTCGACCCCCTGCCGACCCTTTGGTACTTTTAAGAAATCCAATTTAGGCCGACCAATCTTAAAATTTGTCTAAAGGCGCCTTGGGCGCCAATATATACTAATTTTGAGGGGGGAGCGCGCGCCGAAAAAACGCAATTTTTCGGTCAAAATTTTCCAAAAAGTGCCTGTGCCTAAAAACGCCTTTTTTGGCCTATTTTTTCAAACTTTTGCCTGCAACGCAGAAAATTTGGCCAAAATAGGGACAAAACAGTGCTTTGGGAGAGCTCGAGAAAAAAAACAATTTGGTCGACCTAAAAAAAAATAAAAGGTTGACAAAATTTTCCAAATTTTTTTGAAAATCCGCCCCCCCCTCGAGAAAAACCTAGATCCGCCCCTGGTTTCCTTGAAGGTAATTTTGTTCTGATTACACACCACTGAAAATAAAAGCAGCTACTGTCAACCACTCGCCTGCTATTAATTTTTTTCAGTTAAATTGCAACCGCAGCGATCCAGTTAGATTACCTGCCGTGAACAAATTTTTTTGAAAATCAGGTAAATTGCAACCGCAGCGATCCAGTTAGATTACCTGCCGTTAAATTTTTCAGTTAAATTGCAACCGCAGCGATCCTGTTAGATTACCTGCCGTGAACAAATTTTTTTGAAAATCCGCCCCCCCCCCCCTCGAGAAAAACCTAGATCCGCCCCTGGTTTCCTTGAAGGTAATTTTGTTCTGATTACACACCACTGAAAATAAAAGCAGCTACTGTCAACCACTCGCCTGCTATTAATTTTTTTCAGTTAAATTGCAACCGCAGCGATCCAGTTAGATTACCTGCCGTGAACAGCAGTCGCTTATATTCTGTGAAGATTTCACACAATTTGGTTACAGTACAAATGCGAGAAACGGTCTCGGTCTCTTTTTGGCTCAATTGGATCTTGTTCAAGTCTGGCACCCCGGGTCGAGGTCCACGACTAATTTTTCGACTTTGTCGGTCGTGGAAATCAAATTCCGTGACCGAAAATTCATAGTCTGGACAGGGTTTTAAGTCGCAGACAAATTCTGGAAATACCGTATCTCGGTCGCGATGGTCGAAAAAATAGTCTTGTACTGAGTCTCCAAATAGCGTATCTCGGTCGCCGTGGTCGAAAAAATAGTCTTGTACTGAGTCTGGAAAAAGCCTATCTCGGTCGTGATGGTAGAAAAATTAGTCTTGTACTGAGTCTTGAGATAGGGACCAGTTTTAAGTTTATGTAAATGCCATCAATTGTTTTCTTTTATGTCTGGAGACCTGCTCCGTTGACCTTGTGATCTCCAACGTCCGATATGATCTGAAATAAAACAGTGCAGTAAGATTTCGATTTGATGCCTAACAGTTGATCTAAAAATACAACTTATTCACAAACTTTCGATATTCCAAACGTACGACTTTAACATGGCGCAGCCAGCAGAGAAAAAAGGAGGAGGGAAAAATCCACTAAACATAGTAGCATTTTGGGAAGCACGAACACCGGAACCTCCAGTCTATTGGGAGGAGTGGATAATTAAATTTCACTGGGGGATGATAGCAAAGTACGATATTGATCCCGATGATTTCTATTTTGCAAGTACTCTTAATGCGGCGGCTATCACGGCGTTGCCTGAAGAAGTAAATGGGAAAAACCGTCTCGAGTCGGAAAAGAAGTTAAAGTCTAATCTATATCTTTGTATCGGAGACGAGGCGCAACGGATATTCAAAGCACGAAAACCGACGGTTAACATTAAAACGGAACGGTACCCACGGGTTCTAGATGAGATGCAAAATGTGTTCCAAAGAGAGAGGAATGTAACCCATGAACGGGGTCTTTTCTACGGAAGAAAACAACGTGAGAACGAAACGTTCGAAAAGTTCCATGCGGAACTAAGCGCTCTAGCAGGTAGATGTGATTTTGCAAATGCGGCCGAAAATGTTCGTGACATTTTCATTATGAATATGCGGGAGTCGGATTACCAACGAGAATTATCACGATCAACCAAATTACCTGAAGAAGTCTACCGGATCGCATTATCATACGAACGCGGGGAGCGCGCATACAAATCATATACGGGAAAACCAGCTTCAACAGCTCCGGCAATTTCAATAAAACAAGAACCGGTAAGTAACATAAGAAGGGGACAAGGGTTTTTTCGAGGTCGAGGACGTGGGGGACGTGGAGGATACACCCAAGGATCCAGTAGTAGTGGAGGAAGCTGAAATAATTGTAGCTGTTACAATTGCGACGCACCAAATTTTACCCTGGATCACATCGCGAGCTCTCCTGCAAGAGGAGCAACATGTAACTCGTGCCGAAAATTTGGTCATTTTGAACGAACATGTCGAGGAGTTAGAAGAGGTACTAACCAATGGAGGGGACGAGGACGAGTCGGACTGGTTAGGGAGGAAAATGAGCATCACCAAAGTACACAAAACGTAAATGACTTGAATGAAGATCCAGTGTCGTGGGTCAATCAGCAGGGGTGCGGGGAAAATGAGTCCATGACGTCGGGATCGGACGATTTTTAAGTTTATGTAAATGCCATCAATTGTTTTCTTTTCTGTCTGGAGACCTGCTCCGTTGACCTTGTGATCTCCAACGTCCGATCTGATCTGAAATAAAACAGTGCAGTAAGATTTCGATTTGATGCCTAACAGTTGATCTGAAAATACAACTTATTCACAAACTTTCGATATTCCAAACGTACGACTTTAACATGGCGCAGCCAGCAGAGAAAAAAGGAGGAGGGAAAAACCCACTAAACATAGTAGCATTTTGGGAAGCACGAACACCGGAACCTCCAGTCTATTGGGAGGAGTGGATAATTAAATTTCACTGGGGGATGATAGCAAAGTACGATATTGATCCCGATGATTTCTATTTTGCAAGTACTCTTAATGCGGCGGCTATCACGGCGTTGCCTGAAGAAGTAAATGGGAAAAACCGTCTCGAGTCGGAAAAGAAGTTAAAGTCTAATCTATATCTTTGTATCGGAGACGAGGCGCAACGGATATTCAAAGCACGAAAACCGACGGTTAACATTAAAACGGAACGGTACCCACGGGTTCTAGATGAGATGCAAAATGTGTTCCAAAGAGAGAGGAATGTAACCCATGAACGGGGTCTTTTCTACGGAAGAAAACAACGTGAGAACGAAACGTTCGAAAAGTTCCATGCGGAACTAAGCGCTCTAGCAGGTAGATGTGATTTTGCAAATGCGGCCGAAAATGTTCGTGACATTTTCATTATGAATATGCGGGAGTCGGATTGCCAACGAGAATTATCACGATCAACCAAATTACCTGAAGAAGTCTACCGGATCGCATTATCATACGAACGCGGGGAGCGCGCATACAAATCATATACGGGAAAACCAGCTTCAACAGCTCCGGCAATTTCAATAAAACAAGAACCGGTAAGTAACATAAGAAGGGGACAAGGGTTTTTTCGAGGTCGAGGACGTGGGGGACGTGGAGGATACACCCAAGGATCCAGTAGTAGTGGAGGAAGCTGAAATAATTGTAGGTGTTACAATTGCGACGCACCAAATTTTACCCTGGATCACATCGCGAGCTCTCCTGCAAGAGGAGCAACATGTAACTCGTGCCGAAAATTTGGTCATTTTGAACGAACATGTCGAGGAGTTAGAAGAGGTACTAACCAATGGAGGGGACGAGGACGAGTCGGACTGGTTAGGGAGGAAAATGAGCATCACCAAAGTACACAAAACGTAATTGACTTGAATGAAGATCCAGTGTCGTGGGTCAATCAGCAGGGGTGCGGGGAAAATGAGCCCATGACGTAGGGATTGGACGATTTTTAAGTTTATGTAAATGCCATCAATTGTTTTCTTTTCTGTCTGGAGACCTGCTCCGTTGACCTTGTGATCTCCAACGTCCGATCTGATCTGAAATAAAACAGTGCAGTAAGATTTCGATTTGATGCCTAACAGTTGATCTAAAAATACAACTTAGTCACAAACTTTCGATATTCCAAACGTACGACTTTAACATGGCGCAGCCAGCAGAGAAAAAAGGAGGAGGGAAAAATCCACTAAACATA